ACAAAACCATTATACCCTGATTTCCCATTTTCAATGGGTTCAGGGTATAATAATTAATATGAAAAAAAAAAAATAAATAAATAAATAAATAAAATGGTTGCGCTAGAACAAAAGCAGCGTGAAAATGAACGGTTTCCACACAGCTCGTTCACTTAAGGAGTAAATTAATGTTTAATTTTAGAAAATTCGGCTAATCAATTGTATGCGATTAAATATTGAATAAACTTACCATAAGCTTACCAAAATCCATTCCTTCAATGTATATCAATAAAATATATATGTAAGTATAACATATAAATTTTTTATTCTTATCACATGATTTTTCAAAACAATTAGTTCAACTTTATTACAATTAGTCCATTTCTAAATGCTCTATTCTAGACAGTTGATTTTTTGCAATCGCAACTCGTTTGAAAAGCAGTTTTAGTTATATTCGAAGCCTTAAAGATGCTGGTCTATAAGCGCGAAAATCGTAGAATGTTGATTACTTTTGTAGTCTGGGCGATTGTCTGCTGCTGTATCTGTATGGAAACAGCCAAGGCAGAGGAAGTGAGTAGCTGTTGAAATCGTTGTGTAATCAGTTCATTTTGTTATCAATTCTCCATAGATGGCTATAGTACTGAGACCCAAGCCGACGGGTGCCATTCAGATGTATCTCGATCAACTAGACGAAACCAAGAAGAAAAACGAACGCCGTTTAAACAAAGCAGGCAAAATGAATAATCAAATTAATTCTCTCAAGACAATGCTAATCGAAGCGAACAAGCGTATTAAAGGGCTAAAAGCACAGCTGGCCAGAATGAGTAAAGCGAATTAACTACCTCAATACAAACATAAACACAATAAATTAACCTATAAGTTCACATCGATTTCAGCCATAAACTAGCTCAGCTAAATTCATCCGATTGTATTGCATTTTATCTAAACTCCAAGAGATCTATAGTTCCGATTTGGCATTTAGCTCAGCTCTATATGTTACGTTCAATACGTTTCAATATATCATTCTGCAGAATCTAAGGTTGATGCGATTCCAACTGTTCAGAAGGCTTTTCGAATTAATTAGTTCAACTTGATTACCGGTAGTAAAATTTAATTGCTCTATTATGAGAGAGTTTTTAACAAGCCCGGCTATTCAGTTCTATTTGCAATTTCGACTACGTAAGTCTATAAGAATTGGACCTATAAAATGTTCAAGGATTTCATAGTCTGGTCATTTGTATTCTCCATGATTTTTGTGAACGCAACAAAAGAAGCACATGTGAGTATTAGTTGAAGTCTTTCTATATTTAATTTATGTTACTATCAATTGTTGATTAGGAAATAGACAAAGCTGATATATACTTGGCCAAAGTGGACAGCAGGAAGGAACATTGGCTGCAAAGAAAAGTCACTTTACTTCAAAAAAAAGCGGACCAATTGAGGAAGCAATACCAACTACTAAAATCTCAGTTCAAGGAAAGACGAAAAATGCTGACAAGCACGAGCAGCCTCAATAACAGCTAAGAAAAAAAAATTATATATATNCATGGGCAATATGGAAGAACAACTTGACCGGCGTCAAGAAATGAACACAGCTATGAAAAGAGCAATTCTCCATGATTTGCATGCTTAGAAATTTAAACCAACCAAAACTGTGCAATGGAACGCGTTTGGTGATAAGAAAACTGATGAGCAATGTGATTCACGCGTTGATACTCAAAGGAAAATTTAAAGATGAGGAAGTTCTTATTCCTAGGATTCCGATGAGCTCAACAGATATGCCCTTTGAATTTAAACGAATTCAATTCCCGCTTCGTCTTGCCTTCGCCATGACGATCAACAAGTCACAGGGCCAATCTTTGACTATTTGTGGCCTCAATCTAGAAAATGCGTGTTTTTCTCATGGTCAATTGTACGTGGCATGCTCACGTGTTGGCAAACGATCCGCATTATTTGTTCTTGCACCCGACCAAAAAACGAAGAATGTCGTTTACAACAAGGTGCTTGAATGAAAATCCGATTAATAAATTTATCAGTGTATCCCAACCTGAACAACATAGCTTTCAACAATTTTTTACCTAGAAATAATATAGAGGGCAATGCAACGTTTGCCGGGCCAGCTAGTATAATATAATGGAACTTATCAGTGCATTCCATCACGATATTCAAAAATATATATTGCAAGATTTTAGTCTTTGATCTTTAATCGACTCAAGAATATCTCTGCTTGCTTACAGTAAAAGGCAGGGTATCAAGGCAAGCAGAGATCCTTTCAAATCAAAAAGTCACTGACTTGTCGAAAAACTCCCAAACAACAAAATCCAATAATTGAAATATTTGTATAATTCTCTGGGAAGTAATGGTTCGGATATTTCTCTCTCTCTCTTTCTCTTAACTACTCTGCATGCTGGTCTCTTGGCATCTTTAAAGCTATAGAAAATCAGCCGTAACTGCTCATGCCTCTTTTTGATTTTCTGCATAATTATGCTGTTTACCTTAAATCATTCAATTGTGAGCGTGGCGGGCTATAAACCTCACTTAACCCTCCAATCCCACCAGCGAGATCTATAGAGGGCGCCTCAGCTTGTTGCCGCCGCCCTCACTCCGAATCAGGAACTTCGCATCCATTTGCGTATTACGCTTCATTATGCAGATTTCTTGCCGCTCAACATTTTCGCATTTTTTTTTGCTTCTTATTTGTTATTGTTGCATGGCTTGCGGCTTGAAAAAATATTTTTATTTAATTTATTTATGAATGAAATTTACTGGCGAGGGGGTAAAACGGAGTGTGGCATGGCAGGGCTGGGTATGAATGCTGCGACGCCTGGTAGGCTGGCAATAAAAGCAATTGCCACACACACACACACTTACACTCACGTGGTGGTTGCCCCGCCCCTTTGGGTGCCTACCGCATTGTCACATAGATAAGCCGCGTCTGGCTTAACTCATAAAAAAGTGCCAGCAAAGGATAATAAAACAGCAACAGCAACAGGAAAAGGCAAACAGGAGTTTGAGCAAAGGCAGAAATCTGAATGCGTGCGGATTTAAATTTTCAAACAAAAATAAATATTGCGTCGGGCATAAGCGACTCAACAGTCGCCCTGCAGCCACGGAATATATCAGCCCATAAATCAGAGCGCTTGTAATATCCTTTCTTAAGCTATGTGTGGAGCGAAGGGCTTAAGCAAAATTATTTTGGATTAGAATTTTAATGAAACTACTGCCACAAGGATTTGATAAATGAATACATTTAAATGTAGATCTAAATTTGAAGGAATATATAAGCTGAAGAGCGGGATGAATGTTCATAATTGGAATAATCTATGAAGTCACGTACCTACCTATGACTCTCTTTTTAAGCAATCAATATGTAGAAAATTACCTTATTGAATATAAACTAAACTTTTATTTACAGCATCAAAATTCTAAGAAATCTACCTATACTATTTCGTAGATCTCTCTAAAAATCTTCAATCGGCATTTTAAATTTACTTCTTTAAAATTACTTTACTTGTAGCTGCTTTAACTACAGGTTACTTTTTGCAGACCAAATATCATAGTTCTGAGTCTAACAGAGCCCTAGTTCAATCAAGCAACATACATTTCGGAGATTTTTTCACGCAAATCCTTAACATTTATGTATTTCTAGCAGAAGAATCCTGCATACCAATTTAGAAAGCCCTCACTCTGACAGATCCTTAGTACAACTGATAAATTGAATACTCCTCCATTAATTCTTATTAATGAAGTGTACAGGGTATACGAGCGCTGATCGAGTCGGGGCGTAAATTTCACGGCCATGGTGGGAAATAAGTCGAGTATGAAGCGATTCACACATGACTCCACAGAAACATACTCGTATTCTCAAATCGTTTTCGTTTGGTTTTATTTTGTTCTCTCTTTCTCTTTCTTGTTACCAATATATAATGACAATAATCAAAAATTCTCAGGCTACCCATTTGGCTTTTGTAATTTGCCGCAAACGCACAAGAATCCGAGAATCCGGAGTGAGCGAGAAATGAATTTAAAAACAATTTGCGGTCGGGCAAACAAAGCACAAAGCACAGCCATGAGGTAAACCGCAAAGACAACAATTAAGCGTTACAAATGATTATGAATAACCATTTCTATCTTTTTTCTTAGACAGTGTTTTTTTTTTTTTTTTGTTCCTCCATAAGTTTCGTATGTAGCTCTCGTTGTGGCACCTCTTTGAGAGGCTTTGCCCTGAGAAAAACGGAACAGAATCCGACTCGTAATGGAATTTATGCCGCTGGGCTATTTACTTCGTCGTACTTCCCTTTGTGTGTGCCCCTAATGTATGCGTCTGTTGATCTACAGAGCACCTCAGAGCAGACTCATTTGTTAAAAGTTTTATGAATGAACACGATTTGATTCGGTTTAAAGAAGTTACATATGTACATACAGTCTACAGTATGTGTTCTTTTTGGAATGTTGGAGACGTAGGAATGTTATTCTATTAGTTAATTGCAGTTAGCAATATTTTTAATATATCATTAAATTATCCATAAGGCTAATATTTCTATTTATTAATAAAGATCACTTTCTCGTAGTAAAATAACTAAGTTTATTACAAAGAAATACTTTGACTTTTAATAGAATATCATATGCCCAAAAATAAAACTAAAATAGTTTCAATGTCGAGCAAACTAAATTATCAAAGAAATCTCAATTGAAAATGTATGCCAGAATATCTGAGTTCGCGTTTATACAGCTTCGGCGATCGCGCTATCAAGTGCCCGGCTAGCTCAGTCGGTAGAGCATGAGACTCTTAATCTCAGGGTCGTGGGTTCGAGCCCCACGTTGGGCGAAAGTAAATTTTTTTAATTTTTTTTTATTATGTGTTTTTTATTTATATATATATTTATGCATATAATTCTAATTTCTAAAAACTCTTAACTCATATATTTCCTTTAAAAAGGCATGTGCTTGACCACTAATGCATTATTTTATAATTGCCCTTAAAAAAAAAAAAGACAACTACGTATTAATTATAAAATTTCATATACATATATTAGATTTTGGGTTTGGTTGTTTTTGCTAGTTTCACAATTATATTTTTATTATAAATTTTAATAAATTAAAAAAAAAAATGACGATCCGATCCTGCCAGGAGTCGAACCTGGAATCTTCTGATCCGTAGTCAGACGCGTTATCCATTGCGCCACAGGACCGATGACCAACGCGCTGCTTTAAAATAAATTCAAGCTAATAACATAATTAAATGAGCTGAAGAACTTGTTTCAATATCTATATTCTCCAATTCATTTTGTGAGTTTATTTTTATCTTTACCGTAAATATTTATATGAAATTCTTTATATCTAATCGTAAATTATTTGTGTTATTCTATTTTTAAGTTATTAATAGAAATTATTCAGGTTGAGTCTTAAAGATACGCAACGAAATAACTACAAATAATTAAACTGAAAGAAAACTAAAAAAAAAAAAAAAAATAAATAAATTAAATGCTTAGATTTAAGCATAAAAATACGCAAAGAATTGGAGTTTAAATTTTCAACTTAATTTTTATGCATTTTTTGTAGACAATTCAGGGCGAAAGATCCAAGTGAAAGTCGTGAAAGTATTGAAGCGACCTTCAGTAATGTATTCACATTCTGTAATACATACTTCACACATACCCAAAAACCCATACACACACACACACAGACTATAGGCAAATATTTCCACACATATTTCTCTAAAAATACGCCGACTGTAATAAAATATATATGCACATTTGTATTTAAACACACACATATACATACATACTCACACATATATATAACGGGTCCAGTGTATTGAATTTTGGCCCTTTGCCCAGCCGCAGGACAATTTGTATAGCAACAAATACAGAACAAAACTGACAAAAAAAAAAAAACTTTACGCAAAAGCTTGCGCTGGATAAACAACAAATAGAGCAACATTGCGCCTGCCACGCCCCCAGCCAACAGGCATCCCTGCCCATGGAGCGTTTCGTCTCGCTTTGTTGTTGGCTGTGAAATATTTTTCACATGCAGTAAAAATTAGAGACGTCGGGGATAAACAAATACATTTATTACATGCAAATACAACAACAAATAAACGAAACGCTACCAGCGCTGCCAGCGCTGCCTGCGCTGGCGTCGCAGCCGCCGTCACCAGTCACAGTGGCTTTTGTTGCGCGTCAGTCTCGCCGCCGCCGCCGCCGCCGCTGCCCTCCGGCAGGGGGCGCACACACGTGACTTTAAAGCTCATGGGATTACATTCAACGGGGATTTCGGTATGCAAAAAAGCTTAGGAAATTAATGCGCCGAAGGAAATGCATTTAAATAATGTGGTTGAATAGCTGAATGCTTGAGCAGAGGCAGAGAGGCAGAGGGACAGAGGCAGTGGCTGGAGTGGGGGCTTGGGTGGAGTTGGAGGTGTCCGCTGTGACGGCCGCTCGCCCGCATTAATTTATAATTTTACCAAACAAATTTAATGGCGGCTTCGCAAATGAATACAAATTGCAATTGGAACTTTTTCGAGTTGTATGAAATTTGTAATTAACAGCGAAAAAACAGTTTGCAGGCATAATTCTTAAGACTCGGGCAAAAAGTATTTCGAAATTTAATTAAGTTGCATTGGCCACGCAGATTTGTCCCAGCTTCCACGCAGCGGGTGGCGTGCGAGTGTGAGAGAGTGCGAGGGACTGGGAGCAAGTGGAATGCTGAGAGTTGAGTGGAAATTGTGCAACCCTTTTGCGCAAATGAAATCTTGGGCAAAAGTTTTTTTTAATGCCCTGCCCAGACGGCAGCAACACATAAATTTTCATTGTCCGGGCAAATAAACATTATGCTGCAGTTTTTTTTACGTTTACTTACAAAGCGAACACTAAGCAACATGGTTGGACTCTAGGTTGAATAGCGAGTCATGCTGAATACAAGGATAAAGCTGAGCAAAAATACCTGACTTGGTATTAAATACTAGAAAAATAGTTACGCTCGCAGTGAACAGGCTTCAACTTCTCTCGAATAAGTTTGAGTTGTGGGTCGCAATTCGCTGTTGTTTAGTGTAACAATTGTTTATCCTGTTCGGTCGCATTTGGCGCACCTTCTGCTGACGTATGACATTGCAGCATCAATTGTTGTGGCATATACACACGTAATAAAATCGTCATAACGAGTCCATCCCGTTGCAGCGTACGACTTCACTCTGATTGGAAGGGCGAGGTCGCTCTTCTTCTTGGTCATTAACGGCGTTAAGCCCCGGTGCTGTTCCCGGAAGGAAATCGTGGCTGAGTGACGTGTGTGTTTGCACAACCAACACACACACACACACACACATACACGCATGCACACAATCACACCCAACCTTCCATTCTTTTCATTCATTCCATTCGGGCCATCCTCGCAGGCATTGTCATTAGCGTAGCTCGTGCGCCGTTATCCCTTTTTAATAAGGTTTACTCAGCAATTTTTTCTTCATTTCTTTTTGTTGCTGCATTTATATATTGTATGTTTATTATGCGAGATTTGGTTTTTGTTGTGCGCAAGCAATTGTGCAAGCAAACAACAGAATGAATACCAAAATACTGAAGTGAACTTTGATTTCATTTGAGCTGCAGCTCACAATGAGCACAACGTATGAAAGTCGACAAGCTTAAATTACGCAATAAATTAAATGTGTTAAAAGAAATCCAACTGGCAAACAATTGGTATTTTTTCAGTAGTAAATTAAATCTCAATTCACATTTAATGATGATCGATAGCAGCCACTGTTCGGAATGCTGCCACGCCTTTATTATCTGTGTGTTTGCATAATTATCGCTTTCTGCACTCTGGTCACACTGTTTCGCTCTCGCGATTGCAGCAAGTGCATTTGATTCGCCAATTAACAAAATAAAACTGATAATTATAGTGCATGTTAATTGCAGATTGGTGTCAATTACATTTGCATCAAATGTTTCCAAGTGTTATTAGTAAAATTCATTGAAATTGCACAGCGAGAGTGCATTTAAAGTATCAATTTCTGTTGGCCGATTAGGAACATGAAGCACACACAACAAAACGTCTCTGGAATGTATAAATAGATCAATTATCTGTTTAAATTTAAATTTCATGAATCATATAAAATCATTAATTGTCATGCATTAAATAATTAAGAAATAATACACATATTAAGTTCATTGAAATGTAAAACGCAGAAAATTCTTATATTGCACTAGCAGAGCGCATCAATACACACATGTACGTACGCATACACTTGCATGCATAAGCATATGTATGTGCATACATGTTGCTCTCTGGAATGTAAGCTGAAGCCAACAACAGTGGCATACATATGTATTTGTATTTTACATTGCGTGAATTCGCACACACACACTTCCATTTACATTTGAATGCAGATGGAATTTTCGCTCTTCCTTCACACTCTTTCTTGATTCTATTGCAATTCCTGTGCTCAATTTTCGGTCGCTTTTCGGACACTCGTGAAGTTGCCAGGCTGTCTGCTTTGACGTCGCGATAATGTGACACTTCCATACATACATACATACATATGCACATTCCTTTGCTCAATTCTCTTTGTTTGTTTGGCATTGAGAGAGTCAACTAGAGGTGCGCACCACGCAGTCTGCCGCTGTTTATCAAATGTGACGTCACTTTTGACATTTGTCCTCGATACTATGAATGTCTGTGCAAGGCTTTGTTGTATTGTATGTGATATAAAAGCAAAACAATCAAAATAAACACATTTAATCAATTTTTATACCCTGAACCCATTTTCAATGGGAAATCAGGGTATAATGGTTTTGTTGAAATGTATGTAACAGGGAGAAGGAGGCGTGGCAGACCCCACAAAGTATATATATTCTTGATCAGGGTGACGAGCTGAGTTGATTTGGCCCTGTCCGTCTGTCTGTCCGTCTGTCCGTCTGNTAAATTCACCCCCTCACCCTCACTTTTGTAAAAAGCGTATTTCAAATACTAGAGACTTGTGCTTTGGCAATTACATGCATATTCATGTTATAATCATAATCTGAAAGTTTCATGAAGATCGTACGTCCACAAAAAAAGTTATTAAACAATTAAGTTCTCATAGTAAGCGCACACTGCAGCCCATGCATGTTTATGCGTGGGTGCTTGTGTGTGTATGTGTTTGTGTATGTGTGTGTATGTGTTTGTGTATGTGTGTGTGTTTCTTGTGTAAGCTGAAAGACRCGAAAAWWTATTGAAATAGCTAGCACTCCAAGGGTTCAGGGGATCTCGTAGTCGAGCAGTCCCGACTAGAGCTTTCTTACTTGTTTAAATAAATATTTCTTGAAAACAATTTAGAGGAATTTCATGTGTAACAAAGGCGTAAATGATAGGCTGAAGAATTTCCACGTTTCAAATATCGCAGCAATCGGAATTTATGATATGTAAGCATTTTAGATAGACAGATATAAATTATACAAATTAAACATTTCTGTTTGCACATAAAATATACAACATTTATGGATAACTTGTTTAATATTTTTTAATTAAAAAAAATGCAGATGATGAAATTTTGAAGCTGTGTTTATTGCTTTAAGTTTCAATATTCAACAAGTCGAAATGTCCATCTACATAAGACTATAAGCATCCCACACTTCGCCCGACTATGTAATTCGCTCTGATCAACTAATCTGTCTACGTGCCCTGCACACCGCATTGCATTATCTTGCATTATCCATCGCGCAAATCTCGCCTGAGAAAATGAGAAAAGCAAGAAAAAACGTTGTGCGTGCACTCGAAATTAAATTGTTATCAAATCGATCAAAGCCGCAGCATCATTATCTGCGCATTAGTCGTGGCTGGCCAGTGTATATACAAATTTATATATATACACACACACATACATATATATCTATATGTACAGGCTAAAAAAAGAGCAGCTGAGAGGAAGAAAAAAACTGTAATCTGTTATAAAAAGAGCTTGACTATATTGTGAGGGAAACGAGCTCTTGATAAGCCAGTTTTTTACTCCCACTTTTTGTGTTGCATTAGTCGCGCAAGTGCAACATTGGGCGCACTGGTGGGCGTGGCCAGGAGTGTCCAGTGCTATTTTTCCTCCCGCCTGGTGTTGAGTGTGGAACTATTCGTGGCGCCTCCACTCTGTGTAGCTGGGCAATAACTTCTAATTAATACACGAAAAGCATAACGAAAGCTAATTATGAAACTAATGAGCTCGTTGGCAATGCAAGAGCTTCACGAAGCGGGAAACAAGCAGCTAAAGCAATGGCAACAACAACAATTAGTTACATGTAAGAGTGCTTTGGGCGGAGTCTGCTCGACTAGGATATACCGCTTGGATGGAAGAGAGTTGCTAGAGTTGAAGAACTCGGAAGATTTGAATTGAAATTTGTTTAAGGTTTTATTTATTGGGGATATGTATTAAGACAGATAAGAGTGGTTTGAGTGGAGTCTGCTCGACTAGGACATACGGTGAAGATGGATGAGATGAGCTAGAGTTGAAGAAGATTTAGGTTGTATTTGATATTTTCTCAAGTAAAAGATATTATAGATATGTATATAACAGATAAGTGGAGTATGCTCGACTAGGACATGCCACTTAAGTAAAAGAGATTTTTAGCCAACCTCTTTTCTACACGGTATTACGATATCTGTAGCTCAAGTACCAGCAAACGTAAATTAGTATTTATAAATTTAGTTTATCATAGATCATATACTGATTTGCATATGTTTCGCTCTCTCCCTGTCATACCTGTTTCCCCACTGGCTTAGAGGGTATAACAACCTTAAGTGTTAACGACGCTGTGCTTAACAAGACGAGCGCCGCCGTTCGCAGCCGCCGCTCCAGGTGCGAAATACCATGAAAGAGTAAAACGCGAATGGTCGCAGCCTACCTTGGGACACAATGCACACGAACACATACGTATATATTTATGTACAGGTAACACACACATACACACACACACATGAAGGCGCTTATGTATGTACATATTTCATTTCAATTTCCTTTTCGGTTGCGCGTCTTTTTAGCATACTTGATTATGGGCTTTGGTCAGTCAGAGCCAGAGCAAGAGCAGCAGCAGCTGAAGGAGGAGTGGCTGGAGCAGGGGCAGGAGGCAGCAGCAGGGGCAACATAAAGAAAGGGGCTGGGCGCTGGACGTCGCCGGCCATCAGTCACTTATGCGCACGGCACGTCACTCAAAGCGGACACACACACACGCACACACACACACACACACAGACACACTCACTTATGTAGACACCAAACACACCCAGCTAAATAACAGAGCGGGGCACAACGCAGGCAACTTAGTTGCAACCTCTCTGCGCACAGACTGAAGTTAACTAAAACCTATTCGTCCGCTGCTGCCGCTACTGTCATTATCTTGTTAACTTGTTGTTACGTCAGCCGTTCAGTGAGTTTGCTCTTGAGCTTGAGTGTCTATCTGTATACATATATCGAGTTGCTATATAGCTCTTACATATGCTCTGATGATCATTTGATTGCTGAATAAAGACAGCCAGAGGCAGTCGAAGAAGTTTCACATGAAAATTGAATACGAATTCATGCATTGATTTTTTTCTTTTGGTAATATAATTTTAAATTATTTTTTAATAATTAATTTTAGAGTGAATAAGTGTAATTTATTGAATATTGACTGTTTATATTATTAATGGAATAGTAGATGTTGCCATATTATAAAAAACATGAAGAAAATATTATATAAACATCTCAATTATATATTTTAGTTATGAAATATTTTTATAAATTTGTATAAGAGAATTTATAAATAAATATATAAATTTCATGATTTACATTTTTAATTTATTATTCAAATTTATTTTTAGCTTTATTAAACTCTAACTTAAAATATTTTCTAACCATTCTAGGTCTACCTAATTGTATAGTTCCAAAATCTTCCTCGTACTTCATCTCCGTCTCTATACAGCTGCCCCGCACTGTTTCAGTTGTTTTCGCTGCTCATATGATTGGGCCTCCACATTAGTGGCCATTTACAGCGTGTGTGCATCTTGCTTTAATTCGTCGGCCCAGGCTCAGGGCCTTGCTCAATGCTCCGTACACATCGAATATGTTATATTCCCCTCTWCATGCTTCATGCCTCATGCCTCATGCCTCATGTGGCATGTGTAATAATAATATACACACAGGTGTCCCAGGTCTCTTTTTGGCCGTGGGGCAGCGTCAGCTTCGTACTTCATCAATAAGCGGCTGTGGCAATGGGGCGATGGCGCTGCATGTAGCACATGTATCAACGATTACGCGTAATAATCATCATAATCAAAAGTCGCAACACGAAATGAGTTTTGACTTGTTGTTGCTCTTGTTGCTGCTGTTGCTCTTGTTGCTTCTGCTTCTGCTGCTGCTGCAAGGATAACCAGTTAGGGATTGTTATGGTCCAGCGGCGTGTTGTGTGTGCGCGCGCGCTCCATATAGAATTGATTAATATAGGAAATGCTCTGGTTGGCGTTGGTGGCTTTAGCCATCTCATTACAACGGATGCGGCCCAGCGAATTTTGTGGTATTAGGCTTGCAAAACACGGGCGGGGCCAAATTAAACTTGGACTGCGGACCCATAAAAACTTTCTTAATCATAAGTATGAAGGAAGTGTTTCGCTCGCAGCCAGGTTAAGGGTCAATTTCAGTCAGGCTCAGGCTGCGTGCTGTCGACTGATTGGGCGCAACCAGAGATTCATTGTGGTAGCACATTTCATCGAATATTCTGTCTTATATAATCGATAATATATTAAAGTATTGATGTTCGATTATCAATATACTTTGTATTGCTTGCTAGAAAAACTACGGAATTGTAATGGAAATTTATACTGAGAAATATGTAAGGTTACAGATGCTAAAAAGTACTTATAGCTAAATTAGTATTATTATTTAATTAGATATATTGGAATTTCGTTAATTGGCAGTCTGTTTAAAAATGTTTTCTGTCCAACCTGTAAATATTCTTCAAACTTTGCTGTTTCTTATGTCGATTGGCATATATTTTAAAATTTCGAATTCTGAATAATTCGCTTTTCGAACTACATATTTAGAAATCTTATCTGTTTATTCCGCAAAATATATTTTAAATATTCATTATCTTGATTTCCATTTGGCAATTTTTATTCTCTAAGAAATTTTTAAAGTTTTAGTTCAATAAATATTAAATTACTAAATATAATGAATAGAAGAACTTTTGTGCTCTAATGTAAAAATTTCTAATTATTCTTGCTAATTCGTAATTCGTTGAGAAATATGATCTGGGAAAAAATTAAATTTGTGATATATTTCAATTTCTTGGTATTTTATATGAATTGAAATAGAATAAATGTTGTGATAAAGAACATAATGCCAAGAAGAAATACATGATTTAATATTGTACATTCATTAATCTGGATGGATAGTCGATTAGGTAGAATTATGTATACTGGAACCCAATATATTATATACGATTGGGTAGAAATGTATATTCAAATCTATCTTATATTGACATTTTAATGATAACCTTAGAACCCTATACTTAATAAGCTTTAAAAAACTTCCGTAAGCAACATTTTCTCTTAGTACTGAGGCTCTACAACTACTGAATAGCTGAAGCGCTAAGAATCTCATTTACTACACAATTTATAGTTACTGTTATTTATCATATTCCTTCACTCGGTGTTTTTTATGCGCACACGCATCATCGTACCAGTCATATATCTTCTGCTTTATTGTATTGCATAGTTTCCACTCTGCCTTATATCTGGTTAGTCACTCCATGTCGCTTTTATGGGACACTTCATAAAGCTTGCCCAGTCATAATCTATTCTTGACTTACCCAAAAGCCAAACCCGAGCCCGAGCCCGAACCCGCTCTCTGATTTGCGATGTATATCGCATGCATATTATGGCCAACATGCAGACCAGGTACAGAGCCTGAGCTCTATAAACACGAAAAAATAATAATTAACTGACCATCAAATCAACAGCACGTACAGCCTACGTGATCATCATTTTGCGAGACAGAGAGAGAGAGAGAAAGAGAGAGAGATAGAGAAACCAATGTACTGCCCGCTTCTTCTTCTTCTATAACCGCTTGATTACTCATTTGCGATGTATGTATATGTGCGTGTGTGTGTGCTGGGTCTAGAGCTACGTGCGAAAATGAAAACTACGAAAACTTGGCCAGGTCAAAAACTACAATCAAAGTCAATTGGTTGGGGGGTTTTCGGGTGGCTGTAATGAGAGATAACTGTGAATGCAAGCGTTTAAGTGGCAGCTACCGCACTTACCGCATAATTAATATGGCGAAATGCAAGCCGGACAGCTAGACGAACGGACGAACGGACGGACGGACAGACAGGCGGACAGGACAAACAGAACAACAGGCTGGCTCGAGGGGATGGGCAGAACAGTGCTGTCAATGCTGTTACACGCACACGACATTTGCATTTGATTTACGCACTGGTCAGTCCCTCAGAACGCACAAATGTATTCCATTAGAGATGGGAGCGTGAGTGGGTAACTGAAAGGACTGTTGCATGATTCGTAAGAGTTCAATTTATATATAGAAAATTCGTGTTGGATTGTCGAACTTCTCAGCGCTTCTGCAACTCTATGGAATTACATAAGAAATATCTCAGATGTGTCTGAAAAACTTGTACTGGGTCGAGTCAACTAATATTTATATATAGCATGTATAGACAAATATATTTTGGAATTTTCGAGGATCTACTTGGCTTATGCTAAGTTGAATTTACCTCTATTTTATCTACTAATCGAGGTGATTACCATAACTACAATTGTAAATATTTTGAAGGGACATTCTTCTAATATAACTCATATATACATATTATGTTACTTACATACATGAGTTATATTAAATTTCATAAGATATGCTCTATATATTCGATTAAAAAAATATATAATTTAATTCCTCAGGGTTATACTAGCCTTTGCTTAACTCTATATTATCTAACCAACCAGTCGCTTATTAGCACTCTAAAAATGCTATAATCTAACTCATAGTGATTTTTAGATCGCAGTAAGTCCTGCCAAGCTATACTTAATCAAAGTATATAATTAGTTTTAAGAATGATCTATTAATAAATCTCGACACTAATCCATCGTGTCAACTTTTAGTTGTTCGTGTCACGCGGTCATTACTAAACACAGCTCAGCCTCTAAGGCACGAGGGCCGTCGGCTCGCCCTTAAGGCAAAGTCAAGCCATAAAACTTTGGCTTAAGTGCAAATGCGCTCAAATCTGCACTTAGACAAGTGACTGTGTCTGCTATTCAGTGTATGTGTGTGTGAGTGAGCGTCTGTGTAAGAGTGTGTGTGTATTACTATAATTAAATTGAAAATTACTGCCAAGCAATTGCAATTGTCCACACGACTGGGCAGTGCAACCCGGGCTACAATATTAATAATAGGTATGTGTCTGTCTATGTGTGTGTGCCTTAATGTGTGTGTGTGTGTGGGCTCTAATCATTGTCTGTCTGTGCATCTGTCTATATATGGATTTCGGGGGGTTTGGGTCCCAGTTATAAATTATGCATAGATGCATAATTTACAGCTCGTAAGGTCAGACAGTTGCATTTGCCAACAGTTCCCGAGTCCCGAGCCTCGAGCACCGTCTGCCCATCCTCAAGGACCGCTGCACAACTACTGCCATTAGTTGTGCATACACCCTTGCAATTGTGGTAATAAACCTAATGTTCCCATGTTTCGTAACGCCCACAATTGTGAAGTAGTAGTCTGGTACTCTGATGAGCAGGAGACTGGGAGGGTCAGGATGAGTGAGAGACAGTGTGAGGCAGAGAGAGGTAGAGATAGAGAGAGGGTGCATATGATATGGAATTTCTAGTAGTTCCCTAAATCAATTTGGCTATATGTTAAAGCAGTCTAGGTACTATATGTTATTATGTTATTACTTTCAATATTATACGAATATTAAGTTTATTTACATGCAATAACTTAATGAAAATCTGGAAAATACCCTCTTAAATTTTTAATGTTTCTTATTACCTAAATTGATTTTTTTTTTTTTTTTTTAATTTTTGTTAATGGAATATATTCAATATAAGAATATCTGAAATATTCCATATCACTAGAAATTATTACTAATGTATTTTACCCACGTCTTTAAGACAATAACACAATTCAAGGATTTAAGTAAATACTACATGCATACATAGACCCACACTCACATGCACACACACT